ATAAATGCACTAAAACGTAAAAGTCATATATATTTGAAAATGTAATCCAATACAACCCAAAATAATAAATAAAAAAAATACATTTTTCAATCATACAAGTATGATTAAGTTTCAAGTTTTTTACGAATTCAAACAAGACAAGATGAAGTTTATATGTAAAGCATGATTGAATGTTAAATACAAGCTCCAAAGTTGGGCGAAGTTTATGCAAAATTTTGAAAACAATGATTTTTAGAACTAGAACTATTTTTGACCCCAAAAGAAAAGTGTTTTTCTAACTCCTAAAAGAATAAAAAGCAGTTCTTAGATTATCTAATTTTGAATTTTATAAAATAAATTGATTAAACTTAATAATAAAAGTATAAGTAATAATTTGAGTCAATACATTTTTTAAAGAAATTATTTCGAAAATGAAAAATAAGAATATATAATTGTTTAGTTATTATCTATTGTGTAGAAAAATTAAACAAATAAGTGAATAGACATGGAATTGAGCCCCATACCTTTTACATACAAAATGAACTCTCTACCATATGAGCTATCCTCCCTTTTGTTGAAAGTTAGTACAATTATATACTAAGATTTAGTTATTATTTACTGTGTTTAAAAATTAGAAGGAGAAGTGTCGTTAAAGGGAATCGAACATGTGTATCTTGGATGCAACAGCGAACACGCGACCATACAATTTACACGCCCTTTAATTGAATGTTTGTACAATATATATATAATTCTTTAACTTCATTAATTTTTTTTCCCAACGGATCCAGCCCGGGTGGCCGCGCCGACTCGCCGGGTGCTAGATCTGCCCCCGATTGTTACAAAATCAAATGAGAGAAAGGGATCAACCCAGAAATTTAAATTAATCCCAGCAACTTTAAAAGGACTCTTTATGTGGAAATTATATTTGAACCTCACTACACCCACTATTTGTTAATAAGGGTTAAAAACTTAAAGTGATAATGTGGAAAGAGTTTTGCTACACAAACATAATGCTTGACATAGGGGATGACACAACACACACATATGGGGAGGTCGGTATTATTTAATTCAGGTCGGGACTCACCTGCAATGTGAGTGGTCGGTCAACCCACATGTCAAGGATTATGTTCATTTAGCTTAAGTCATGTGGAAAAGAGAAGTAAATTCATCAGTGTTTTGAAACACTTACATTTCTCACATCTGCATCTCGGACGTCCAGATCTGTTGTCACCATTATGAACTTCACCTTGGTGTTAGTTAAATAACCATACCTGAAAACAAGCAGACAATGAGAGCTGAGAGCATTTGCAAATGGAAAGATGAAATTAACAGCCACACAATATTTTCACCATCAATAATGATAAGGTATGAGTTTCATCCTATACTTCTGTTCTCTCTAATCCAATTTTCATCAGTAAACTTCATAGGGAATTAAGTATATAAGTATACTTACACTTTGTAGTTTTCCGTAGGATAGAGCAAACCAAGAAATGTTTCATTGAGTGTCGGGGCAGACTTTTTTGGATTGTTCACTGAATAAATAACATGAAAAGTAAAATTAAGAAAAAAAGGTAACAGTTGATTTCCGGGGAAAAAAAAAATATTTAGCAAGTTTTGCAAATTGACCATTGATAAATTAGAGCATTTAACACATTCCAATCACTGTTTGAGCTCGGATTTAAAACAGTTGGAGCAATTTATTCCTATTAGATGTCGTATATTATTTGATAATTGATGGACATTTGTATACTCTAGGTTTGGAAACCACGTTCCCATTCATTAGTTATACTTGTTGACTACCAACAAATACAGTCCTCATTTAAATTAGGATGTGAGTAATGTGTTTAAAGCACATTGAGTAGAACTCTCTCATAAAACAGGTTTGTAAGCAAATAGTTTTCAACTAAATATAAAACCATGAACCGACTCTTAACTTAGCAATGTGGGACTCAATTAAAGTCATTACATTACATTCCATCCTTCATTATGGAACCTATATTTATGGTGTCAATATTCCCAGCTAGGTGATTTAATGAAACTGATCCTATACCAGAAGTAGCTTCCTGTCGGCATGTTGGCAACAAGAGTCATCCGCCATAAGGGTGTTTGCTCTCATACCAGTTGTTGCTAACACATTAAGCCCCTATTTAACAACCATTAAATGAGCTTTTTGGGGAAAATGAATTTTGGAATAGTGATTTTTTTGAAGAATGTGTGGTTAAAAAGTACGAAAAATTTTTGGGTTTATGTGTAAAATATTTTATTGTGAGAATGTGAGGTTGAAAATGAGTTTGAGAAGAGAGAGTTTTGTTTTAATGGTTGTCAAGCATGGGCTAAATAGAACTCACTCATATAATGGCTTCTGAGTAGAGCTTTTTCAAGTAGTTATAATCAGATTCAATTACTTGATCTTGGATTGTAATCAATCTTGGGGAGCCAACACAATGTATATATTACAGATCTTAGTACAAAATAAACTCTCCATCATTTTTCGCTGTAAATAAAATTCATACACAACGTTCCAAAGAAAAGACACAAAATCAAGAGATCTAAACTATTACCTCTTTCGTCAACCACATCGAGAGAGCAGTGGACAATGTGATGAAGCTTGAGCGCGTCATCTGCCTCTGTAAAGCTCTGTATGTACAAAGGATTGTTCTGCCACCACGATAAAATTCAATTAAATATTATTCAAATTCTTATGCACATATCTAAGCTCGGTGTACAAAGGAGGATTCTTCTGCAACCACAAGAAATTCCCAAAAAATGTTCAAATTCTTATATACGCATCTAAACGAAATTATTAGAGCTTTGTATATACAAAGGATTGTTGTGCCACCACAATAAATTCAATAAAAAATATTCAACTTCTTTAATACAGATCTAAATAAAATTATGATTATTATAATAAAAGCTCTGTATGTAAAAAGGATTGTTCTGCCACCCCGAGAAATTCAATTAAAAAATTATTCAAATTCTTATATACATATCTAAATACAATTACTAAAAATCATAAGAGTGATTATTGATGAACGAAAATGGAGGGCGGAGCACCTGGTGGCCGACGACTGCGATGCAGACGATCATCTTCTCCTGCAGACGGAGACTAGGAGGCGGGTGGGATTGGTTAACTATGGTTGAGTACTGAGTCTTCAGTTGGGTTTGAAATAGGGAAATTTGCACTATTGGTACCATATGATTGTGCTGGTAGCATGTTGGACCTCATCCTTTTAAATGAAGCAAGTTAATCATCAATCTTTTATTGCAATCGTGTCTCCTCATGGAACGATTGTATTGAGGCAGGGGTGATTTTTTCTATCCCTTTTATTCATTTTATGACAAGATTCTATTATTGAAATGCAAATGAGGAAATGTTTAGCTTATATGTATGTATCTTTCTATTTCAATGACATTAGTCTTTCGATTTTTGTGAAAAGATTTGGGATTCCTTAAATTTTTTAAACCAAAATTAGTTAAATTAAGTATTATAGAATATCTGTAATNCAGATAAAACAAAAATAGATTCCTCGCACGTCTGGTCAAAGGCTATCTTGTCTTTACCACGAGGCATTTTCCTAGGCTAACAATAATTTCAGCTTTGCACATATTCGCGGATTCTTCAATTTGCTTTATCCCTCGTAGATGAAGTAAGTAAGGCGGTATAGTATATTTTTCCGTCTATTGGAACTTCTAATGACCTATGCATTTGGTGATAATTTCCAATTGTATGATCTAGAATGTTCTAATCTACCTTAGTATTTGAACCCTCACTGCAAAAATAAAATAAAATTATATATATGAATTACTTATATATATGAATTACTTGTTGTCTCTTTGCTGTGCTTTAATTTGATTTTGATTTGATTGGCATATTTCTTTAATATTTTATTTCTTGTGGAGAGGTCTCATATGATAGTAGTGGTACATAACGTCCTTACTAGATGCTATGTAAAGGGTCTTTCTTTCGCTGTTATCCGCTTAGTGCTACTTTTCTTGTTTACCGATGACTAAGGGGAATTCTTGTTGGCTGACGAAATGGAATAGGTGGCAACTGTGGTGAAAGTTATCTAATCTAGCTAATTGTGACTCCTAATCACACTCCCACCATAATGAACTCAAAGAGGGTAGGCACCTCCACTTTTTCTCCTTCCAATAGGAATCCTCCTGTACTCCTAATGGAAATGAGGGGCCGACTGCTAATCACCATGCCGTCACGAATAGCCAGCCTTTTGTGTTTAGAATTTCTAACTTATATTTTTAACTTAGAATTTCTAACTTATTATTTAGGCTGTTGTTATGAAAATCCTACTCAATACTTTTCTTAATTATAATATCTTTATCTTTTGATAAAATAATATCCACTTTTTACTCTTTTTTTTTTTTTTAAATCTCTAAAAAAAATGTCATCTGAGATATAT